CCCTAACATCAGATCAAAAAGAATGGGTCCCATATATAGAGATTGAGTGTCGTAAATTCCAGGATGATAAAGTGGCCCTAGGAATGGCTACTGACAACTTCGAAGCTGTCATTTGTCCCATGACATTTTAGTTTCCTTCCTCCCTAAACCATCATGTTACAAGGAGCAAAGCTGCACAGTAGATTTGCAGAGAGCAGTTAAGTTTTATCAACAGAACTACTTCCAGTAAGAATGTACTCCTCCTTCAGATCCATTCTGTCACAGTAAGATAGCAACAAATCATTGCCTGATTAATAACAGTGCATTATAGAACCATATAAATCCAAAAGACCTGCCTTCTTGCCTAATTTACAAGTGCACTTGCTGAGGCCTATGACCGCTTCCTGGGCAGAGTGAGTCTGTCACCCTCAGGGAAACATGCAGGGCAGCAAGTTGGACAAGCCTTCAGAAGTGTTTCCAAGTAATACATAATTAATCTCATAGCTTTCTGTGGGTGTGCCACTCCCAAGAGTAGTGCTTCATGGTATAATAGGCCTAGAAATCTATTTTTTCTCTTCAGAAAGGACTGGGGGAAGATATTATGATGATGCTACTTGTTCTTTCCTCACTTTTCTGGGAAATGTTGGTAATGGTTACTTTCCTCTTGTCAAGGATTGCCTAATATAGTCTAGTAGTAGAGAAAATTGGTGGTCCTGCAACTAGTGGAAGAAAAATATTCGTATGTAACAAATGTGATTAAAAATACATCAAGTTTAGTGTGGTAACTTTAAAAAACAAAGCCCTGCAAATTAAAAAAGTGGCTTATAAGGGAGAGAGAATGGGTTTGTGCACAGTGCATAAAGAAGAGCTGAAAGTGCTGGAGGCTGGGGTAGAACAGCATGAGAAAAGGATGAAGAAGAAGGTGGGAAGGGTTTTCCATGTTTTGTTTTGTTTTGTCTTTTACCCCCCCCCCCCCCATCCCCACCAAAAAAAAAAAAAAAAGTTAAAACACTTAGGTCTTGTCTACCCTTGGAATTGTATGGATGGTTAGAGAATTTATGGGACTGTTCCTTTATAATCATGGAAGTGAAACCTGCCTAAAAGGAAAAATTAACTTATTTAGAATGTTTAAAGCTGTTTTTTGCCAATTTAACTTAAACACTTCAAAGAACAGACTTTATATATTCAGTACCTTCACCCCTTTGACCAAGGGTTCAGAAAGATTCCAGTCCTCTAACATAGGAAGGGAAGATTTGAAATTCCTCATTGTTAAGGTAAACAGAAAAAAACAGGGAAAACCCTTTTTTTAAAAAAGCAAAATTCAAATTATGTATCATAAAGCAAAAAAAGCAAAAGCCCAATCAGTTTTTCCTTTTCAGGTAACCTTTATCCTCTTTGTTCATATGAACTGCTCTTGGAGGCAACAAGCCAGGTTACCTTTGGGGGGAGGGATAGCTCAGTGGCTTGAGCATTGGCCTGCTAAACCCAGCGTTGTGAGTTCAATCCTTGAGGGGGCCATTTTAGGGAACGGGGGTAAAAATCTGTCTGGGGATTGGTCCTGCTTTGAGCAGGGGGTTGTACTAGATCATCTCCTGAGGTCCCATCCAACCCTGATATTCTATGATTCTATGAAAGGAGATGAAAAATTACTTTTGTTATCAGGGGATCAATAGCTCTGAATTGCTGTACGTTATGTTCTAAATTTTGTTCTTGACAGTTTGAGCTGAAAGAGCCAAAGAACACTTAGATGTAGTTAGCTATAACAGTCCCTTTCCTAATTCTTGTGATCCTCTAATGTTTTTGTGTTTATTCTATATAGCAGTAACATCGTTAAAACTTCTTATGTAGGCTTAAATAAGAAAGCTCTAGATTTTGGAAAAAATAAATAGAAGTGTTCTGAAACATTGTTAGAGTGACAGGCTAGAGAAGCAGAAGTTAAGTGACCTTTTCCAAACTGGAAGTTGCAGTGGTGACTCCACCGTGCTCTGTGCAGCTCCCTCCGCTCCATGGCAACAGCAGAACAGTAAAGTAATCTTGTGTACTCTTCTGTACGCCATTTGGCTTCCTTCTCCAAAACTTACTTTCTTGTATGTACTGTCAGCAATTTACAATATTTGTCCCAGCACATCCCGCCCCCCGTGCACACCCACACCCAAAAATCATTCTAGTGGCTGCACCTCCCACATGGCCTCATTAGTTTTCCAGTAGTGACACAATAAAGGAGTGCTCCAGTGGAAAAGCCCATACTTTCATAGTCTCCAGCAGTCAATCCAAATGTCTACTGTAGTTGCAAGATGATTCAAATGTCCGTTTGACCTTGTTTACCTCTGTCACCATTGAACTTTGTCACTAACTCCACTGCCTCCACTTCTTTTGTTACCTTATACTATTATGCCACCTCTAGTTATCTACCTCTCCATGTCGAACATGTCTTTAATACACCCAGCATGTTTTGGGGGGTTCTGTATAAAATCCAGACTGCATTGTTCAGTGGACAGAGCACTGGACTGGGAGTCAGCAGAGAAGTTTGGGTTCTAATGCTGGCTCTGCCACCAATCTGCTATGTGAGCTTGCCTAATTTACTTCACCACTTCGTACCTCTGTTTCCCTGCCACCCTTTGTTTTGCCTACTAAAATTTTAAAGTGTTTGGGACAGGGACTGTATCCTATTTGTAAAGTGCCTGGCATAATGGGAACCCAATCTCAGTGTTGCTGTAATGCAAATAGTAAATAATAGACCTGTGTTAAGCACGTGACATCAGTTTATTAAACAAAATAAGTCTCTGTGAAAAACACCTATAATGATTGTCTCCCAAGGTTTCAGCAATGCCAATTTCTGCTTTTTGTTTTAATGTTTTTTTGAGAGAATGAGTCAGTGAGTACTCTGGTAGTTAGAATTGGAGGATAGAATAGATGTTAGGCGTTTTCCTAAAAATGTTTTTTTCCTTCGATTTAAAGGTTATCAGTAATAGCTTAAGAGAAGGATTAATTTCAGTTTCTGTTCAGAGGCACTTTACCAGTTTCCACTAGTAAAAATGGTCTCACTTGTTGTATAGCTTTCAAATTTTACAGTAGCAATGTGCTTATTTATACAGAGATGAAAGTCTGTAACTTAAAGGCTGGACATTTAAATTTGAAATTCTTGAAAATATCCTAAATCTATAGATTTTTATGCATCAAATTTGGATTGCCTCCACAACTTTCTTAAATCACTTGCTCATTCATTCTGCTTTTTCGTAATTTTTCAGTTTCTCATTGTGTATGTGATGCACACACCTATTTTTTCATATATCTGTATATGTATGATGGGGTGATAATATTTTTATCTCAGTTTGTGTCAGCTTCAAGGAGCTCAAGATTGTCAAAAACTATTTTTGAATTAGATCATTCTATTCAGTGCCAATAAAAACCTTTATGACACACCCTCCTGTATTCAGAATATTCCATATGTATTGCAGAAAATTTATTTTAGGAAATGTGTTTTAAAACTTTAATGTGAGAGACAAAGTATTGTCATGGATCAGAAACTGACTGAGATAGGAAATAGAGTTGGGGGGAATGGGCACTTTTTATCATGGAAAGGTTTCAACAGGGTGCCACAACATTATATGGTAAGACTAATGTTTAATTTATTAAAATTATCTAGAAAAGGAGATAATCAGTGAGGTGGCAAACTTGCAGATGACACAATTATCTAGTCAAGACTGCAGAAGACCTTAAGGAACCTCAGAGGGCCCTTAATCAAGTTAATTGAAGGGGCAACACAATGGCAGATGAAATTCAGGATTGATAAAATGTAGTGTGATGTGCACAGCAGAGAGTAATTGGAACTACTAATACACTTTATTGGGTTCTAAACTAGCAATAAACTCAGGGAAAAGATCTAGGCATCCTTTTGGACAAAAGTGAAGGCCTCTGAATGTTCAGCAGTGGGGTTTTTTTTGTTTTTTTTTTTTTTTGTTTGTTTTTTAAGGCAAATTGATAGAGTGCATAAGGAATGAATGGAAATTTAATACTGAAAATACTGTAGTGCTATTATATGACAATTGTATGCCTTTATCTGGAATAATGTGTTTTGTTCTGGTCACTCCATTTCAAAACTGATGTTACAGAATTGGAGGGGGTTCAGAGGCAGATAATAAAAATGTTTAAAAGTATAGGTGAACTCATAAGTGATTAAAAAGATTGGGATTCTTTATGTTGAAAGGAGACAAATTTCAGGGGACATAAATACAAAATAATAGTATAGAGACAGTTGAGAGGAATGTCTGTTTGTTTGTGTCATCAGAGCAAGAGGTTATTCAAAAGAATTAAAGGTGGCAAATTCAAAACTGATAAGGAAATATTTTTTTTATTCAATGCTCAATTAGACCGTGAAACTCATTGCCCCAGAATATCACTAAGGCCAGAAACTTAGCAAGATTCAAAACAAGATTAGATATTTATCTGGGTAGCAAAAATATCTAGAATTGTTGCAATAAATGCAAAAATAAAAAAATTGAGAGGATATAAATATCATGTTTTAGATTGTAACCCTCAATTGTTGGAGATTAGCTTAGAAGGAAACTTCCCCAGAGGGCAGGTTATCTCATACCTGCTTTCCTGGGGGTCGCAGGGTTTGAGCTCCCGTCCGAGCCCAAACATCTACACTGCAATTTTATAGCCCTACAGCCTAAGCCCCGCAAGCCCAAGTCAATTGACACAGGCCAGCTGTCGGTGTTTGCAGCATAGACGTACCTTTGTGGGCTTAGTTTACTACCTTGTTCTATTCAGCATAGAGCATACTGTTGCCACTCAGCAAATGTACAGCAATAAGATATAATAATAAGATATACATGCACAGAAGTATTGGCTTTAGTTTTGGATAGTAATGCTGTAAGTTAGATAGGATTGTTTTGCTGTCATATTACCAAAGTGGAATAGTTGTCTTCCTCTGTATTGTGTTCAGTTTCTAGATCTTGAAATTACTTGGCTCAGTTTACACATTATAATGCTATTTTATCTCTATTTTATGTTTACAGCTGATATTATTTCAACAGTTGAATTTAATTACTCTGGAGATCTTCTTGCGACAGGAGACAAGGGTGGCAGAGTGGTTATATTTCAAAGGGAACAAGAGGTCAGTGACTTCAAAAACAATGAAGTGTGCCTACCGAAGCTGCTCTTGAGTTTTTCATTTATTAACATGCATGATATTGGTGCAGCTTTTGATATCACCAACTTGAAATGTTCCCATGTTGTTTTCTAGTCCATGATATTTCTTTAGAAAATTTGAAATTGTCCCAATCTCTTTATTGAACTCAATGCTGTATTTGAAGCAATGGCCATTCCAAGTATTTCTGTTTAGCCTGTACAATCACAATTATTCTGCATCACAATTATCCTTGCATCTGATGAAGTGAGTATTCGCCCATGAAAGCTTATGCTCCAAATAAGTCTGTTAGTCTATAAGGTGTCACAGGACTCTTAGTCAATTATTCTGCAGATTGCCATGGGACCTACTGTTTAACTTAAAGCTCAGGGTCAGGGTGACAAAAGATAAATTGTAGTCTCTCTTTTAGAAATATTTTAACTGTCTTCAGAAAGAAGGCATGGACAGCTCATCTGCTAGGAGGAAAGCAGAGGGTGCTTGAAAATTGAAGCATCAGCAGCTTTCTGTGTTCTAGGAGCAGCAGACTCAAAGATAGCAGAGGCAGCAGCTTCCCAATCAACCCAAAAATGTGTGACAACCTGACAGGGCAGAGCATAGAGAAGGCCTTCTCCAAAAATTGTTTGGCAGATAATGTCATTGAGATGGTAGGCACCAGTTAAAATTTTCCTGTGTTACTCAGTGTGGGCTGGCATGTGTATATATACACTTCATGTTTGTACCATAATCTTCACAATAGAAGGAAAAAAACACAGAAAAATTCTTTATCCTCAATCTTGATAAATACAGATGGTGACATTTAAAAGGGGCATAATCCAGTTTATTACAACATACAAATGGTGTACATTGGGATACTGCACTATGAGCTCATGGAATGTAAAGAACACAGATTTACTACCTGATCCTTACACAGCCAAATACTTGGATTACCATCGCTTTGCCATATCTGTAAAAGAAATCTTTATATGGTTCTTGCTACCAAGTGGAATGTTCACTTTCTTTCAACTTTTTTCTGCCTCCGAAGAGCATTTTTATACCTTGCTTTGAAAGCCTGAGGAAAATCTTGTCTCTGAGCCCTCAAGTATGCGTACATTTATATCTACATTATAGAGTTATACATAAAAACTACGTTAAAAGAATGTTCAGTTTGCAAAGTCAAGCACTCAGAAGTTAGGAATTACCAGAATTAAGGTGGCCCATGGAACCTTAACTTTTACCGCTTCTGTGTATGCATTTTGACAGTCTTTAATTCAAGATCTCATACTATTTTTACAGAACCCTGCCTCATTAAGTGTATAGGATGGGCAGTGCTCAGTTAATGGGTAGTCAATATTTCATTTTAGCCTCATTGTTCAATATATGGACCCATGCCTTATTTACTGCATACAATTCAAATCCTGCTCTGCATACAGAATTATTAATTTCCTCATGGGCTTGTCTATGGCACTCATCACAGAAAACTAAGACAAAAGCACCATATAACCCGTGGGCGAACACTTTTCACAAAACAATCACTGCATTATCTGACCTTTGTCCTCATTCTCAAGGGAAACCTGCACAACACCTTCAAAAGGCTAGCCTTGGAGCTTGAATTCATAACTTTACTAGACAAAACTAAAAATCACAGACTTAATAAAAACACTGGATTTATGATTTATTACAATGATCTGTAACCCACTTTTACCTTCCCTTTTTTGTTTTATGACTTCAGAGGTTAACTGGCCACCTTGAACGATCTCTTACAATATGTGTTAACTACTTAGACTAAACAATCTGTTCCACCTTGTATTTAGCTGCAACAATCCGAGTACCTTTCCCAGACCTGAAGAAGAGCTCTGTGTGGCTCAAAAGGTTGTCTTTCACCAACAGAAGTTGGTCCAATTAAATATATTACCTCGCCCACTTCGTCTCTCTAGTACATGGTCAGGTAGTTTAAGACAGGATTATAATGCATATACACAAGGGAGATAAATTAAGGTTGCACAAGCAACCTTATTTCTAGGATAATCTCACTTTTGAGTGCTTGACTTTGCAACCTTAATGTTTATTTAACATGACTATTTGTGTGTAATTTGCTTTTCTTAAGAACCTAGGAAAACTAAAGAAATTCCATCAAGTGGAGCCATATTGACTTCTCATGTGTTCCAAACTTTCTGATGAATCATGTGGGAATATAGACTTGTAGGGAATTGGTCACATTTAAAGCTGACTGGGTGGTATTCACACTAGGTCCTCCGAGGTTGTGCAACCCACAAAGAAATCATTAATATATGTTATAAGCCAACTTTTTTTTTTTCTCGCATCAGTTATGGGAGGTATACTTCAGACCACTTTTGGTCCCTCAAGTGTGTCCTTCAGGTAATAGGCTTGAATTCCTTCACCTCTCTCAAGGGTGGAAACATATGTTCCAACCACTCTGGGACTGGATCTCTGGGTGGCAGCCCCGTTTCCCAACTATTATTACATGACAAGACCAACTGCATCCGGCACCTGTAAGCTCTTTTCCTCTGAGGGCCTGTGACTAGCATCTTATTAAAGTGACTCAAAAAGTGCTTCTCAGAACAAAGCATTATTTATTTACCCAAATGTATATAGAACTCCGAGAAAAGAGGTAAAACAATAAAAAGCCTATATGCTTGGTTCTTAGATAAACTTTATTCTTTCCTTGCAAATTTCTCAAATTCTGTGGGTTTTAGCTGTGCACACACATGTGCACACACTTGGTAGCAACTAGCCATCTGTTGGAGTTTTTAAAAAAAAAAAAAAACTTTAGTATTCTTGCACTTTTATTGGAGAGGTCTAGCTACTAACAAAAATTGAAAAAACACAAACCTTGAAAATTTGATACTTTTGTGGTTTAATTCAACTTCAGGATGCTGTTACATGTTGAGAATATTAGCCACTGGTTTTATCAGCTTGGATGTTTTAACATTGACAGAAGTTGCTGCTTTTCTAGAGAAAACAGGCTTGTAAATATTGAATTTTAGATGTTGCATATTGCTGGAACGTACCCTTGGTGGCCAGCTGGGAGGATGGAGCAAGTACAGGCCTCCTTTTTTTAGGCATGGAGGCATCAAATGGCCAGATGCCAGAAGCCGTTGCAAGCAGACCCACAAGCTTTGGCAACTTTGTTTACTTCAGTTTTTGAAGATGGTGACCTAGCTGGTTCCTTCCCTTTGGAACACCTCCTCAGGAGTCCCTTGAGGAATCAGAATGGAGTACTCCTCTTCTGAAGTTATGAGCATTGTCCAATGGGGTTCAATTTAGGTCACCTTTACTAAACAAAGAACCTCCTGATTGCAGTAATACCACTCAGAAAATCCACAGATAGAAAAATGTTTAGACAGTCAGCAGGTCCAAAGCTATTTTGAGACATTTGAAGTCTTAGGTCAGTCCACAGACATTATTTCAACTATCCTACTAAAGTCCCAACTCGATAATAATTTAAAAAAATACAAAGCTATGAAAAGTTGGAATTGAAATAATAGGAAAACACAAACAAGACATTCACTGAGCCATGCACAGAGAAGAACAGTTTGTGTTTTATAGACAGATATTCATAACATCCTCTTATTTTTTTGGTTCTCTTTGAGCAGCATTTTTTTTTTTTTTTTTTGACACTGAAAATTTGGGTTGTAGGTTAGACTTTAATTCAGTCAGAGCAAAAAGTCTTTTTCCTTCTAAAATCACACTTTTGGGATACATTTTTTTTGTATATAGGCGTATCTGCTTCACAGACCTTTAGATCACCAGCACAGACCTCTGCCACTTGGGATATGTCTACACTGGCAGAGTTACAGCGCTGGCAGTTACAGCGCCGCTCAGAGAACGCTGAACGGAAACCTCTGATGTGTGTTCACACTGTCAGCTGCCTGTGCAATAGCGTGTTCACACTTGCGGGACTTGCAGTGGTATTTGGAGTGATGTACTCTGGGCAGCTATCCCACAAAGCATCTCTTCCTTTTCTGTCGCTAAGAGTTGAGGGAAGGCAGAGGGGGTTGCGGGGCATCCTGGATCCTGTCCCAGTGCCCTGTGAGGCATTGCTTTGCATCCCAGCAATCCCTGTGCTTTCGTCCACATTTGGCACCATCTTTCAACGGTTTGTGTACTGCGAGCTCTGCCTCTTTGGTCTGCAGGAATGGATCCCGCACTGTTGCCCAGTATGCTGCTCGCTCTGACTAACATGTCACAAGTGGCAGTGGAGTTATTCCTTAAACTACAAAGGCAAGAGGAGTGCGACATTGATCTCACCATGCGTAGTAGCTACGACACGAGATTGCTTGTGGCATTCACGGAGATGCTGATCACAGTAGAACACTGCTTTTGAGCTCAGGAAACAAGCACTGAGTGGTGGGATCACATCGTCATGTACATCTGGGATGACGAGTAGTGTCTGCAGAACTTTCAGATGAGGAAAGCCACATTCATGGGACTGTGTGATGAGCTCACCCCAGCCCTGCGGTGCAAGGACACAAGAATGAGAGCTGCCCTGCCATTGGAGAAGCGTGTGGCGATCGAACTGTGGAAGCTGGCTACTCCAGACTGCTACCGATAGGTCGCTAACTAGTTCAGAGTGGGAAAGTTGACCGTTGGACTCATGTTGATGGAAGTGTTCAGGGCCGTTAATCGCATCCTGCTTTGAAAGACTGTGGCTCTGGGCAACGTGCATGACATTGTGGATGGCTTTGCACAAATGGGCTTCCCTAGCTGCGGAGGGGCGATAGATGGCAGGCATATTCAAATTCTGGCACCAGACCACCTAGCCACCGAGCACATTAATCGGAAGGGGTATTTCTCAATGGTTCTCCAGGTGCTTGTGGATCATTGTGCGTGGGCATTTCACGGACATTAATGCAGGCTGGTCCGGAGAGGTGCATGACGCACGCATCTTTCGGAACACAGGCCTGTTCAGGAAGCTGCAAGCAGGGACTTTCTTCTCAGACCAGAAGATCACTGTAGGGGAAGTCAAAATGCGCATTGTTATCCTGGGAGACTCTGCCTACCCCTTAATGCCATGGCTTATGAAGCCATACATGGGGCACCTTGACAGCAGCAAAGAGCAGTTTCTCAACAGGCTGAGCAAGTGCAGAATAACTGTTGAATGTGCTTTTGGCTGTTTAATGGCCCGCGGGCGCTGCCTATATGGGAGGCTGGACCTGGCCGATGACAATATTCCTATGCTTATAGCTGCATGCTGTACGCTCCATAATATTTGTAAAGGGAAGGGTGAAAGCTTCACTCAGGGCTGGACTGCTGAGGCTCAGCCCCTGAAGGCTGAATTTGAACAGCCAGAGACCAGGGCTATCAGAGGGATGCGGCGTGAGGCCATAAGGATCAGGGATGCCTTGAGGCAGAAATTTGAAGCTGAAAGCCACTAATATTTGTTGCTGTGTTCAGAAGTGCAGTGCTTATAATGCTAAGGTGATTGTCATTTGTGCAGATGATGCACTATGAAGGTTTAAGAAAGTTGCCTGCTGCTTTTCAGGGCTCTCTTTGCTTTCAGTTAATAGAATAAAGATTACTTTCAAACCAACACAATTATTTAAAAAAACAACTGGAGGAGAGAGACAAACAAACAAAACACATCCGCACTGAGGGGGAAGGGAGGGTCCCAGGAGGAGGTGAGGTCCTGGGACATTTAGATTTGTGTATGTCCAGGTATCGTATCCAACCTTCTCCTTTGGAGAACAGTGCAGCGGGTACTGTACTTCAGCAGGGCTAAACTGCAGAGGGACGGGTGTTGAGTACAGTGGGTACTGGGAGTCCGCAGTGCTGGACTGTGACGGGGGAGGAGTGGAATGCCGTGGATACAGACTGGAGCCAGGAGGTTGATAAGAGTGTGTTGGTGGTGTCTGGGACGGGACGCATGGGAAAGAGTTTTGCGACAGTGGCTGCAGGGGAGGGCGAGTGAGGAGCTGCTCGGTTTGCAGTGCTAGTAGCACCTGGAGCATGTCCGCTTGGCACTCCATAACATTTAAGAGCCGCTCCGTGGCTTCATTCTGGTACGCCGCGTGCTCCTTTCGCTATCCTGCCACTCCAATTCCTGGTTTTTGGCCACCCTGGCCCTTATGCGGCTCACCTGTGTGCAGCAATGGTCCTCCCACCCCACCCCACCCCCCAGTGACAGCGGAGTGGTGCAGGAAAAAGTTACCCTTAATGGGGCAAGAAACAAACAAAGCATCTCTACCAAAGAACCTGCAGCAGCGGATTGCCCAGTATCTCCATGAGAGTTTCCTGGAAATCTCTGAGGCAGATGCTCATGAAGTGAGGGAGTCAATCAACACCCTGTTCCGCCGCTCAGACTAAGCATGTGGTGGTACGCGCATCACACAGACACGAGCCTGCTTTCTGCAACCCTCCTGCCGGCAACAACTCGCTTCAGCCACTTACCAGGGGCCTCTTCTCCTGGTTGCGCTTTGCCAAGATCTGACAGCTGTGACTGGCTAGCATCCTCCGGGGTAGAGATCAGCTCCTGGCTGCATGCACTTCTGGCTTCCGTGTCGTCCTCTGCCGCTGGGTCTCCCTCTCCCTCCACATCGTCGTCCAAGATTTCCTCCTCCTGGCTCGGTCCACTCTTGACTGGCACGCAAGCCACCAAAGCATCCACAGTGGACTTCGCAGTGGAGATGGGATCGCCACCAAGCATCGCATCCAGCTCTTTGTAGAACCAGCGGCTCGTGGGCACAGCGCCAGTTTGCCTCCCGTGCCTTGTGGTAGGCGTTCCGCAGCTCCTTCACTTTGAACCTGCACTGCAGTGTGTCCCGGTCATGGCCCCTTTCTATCATGCATCATGAAATCTGTCCGTAGGTATCATAATTCCAACGGCTGGAGCACAGCTGGGACTGGACAGCCTCCTCTCCCCAAATGCTGATGAGGTCCAGCAGCTCAGCACTGCTCCAAGCAGGGGATTGCCTGACGTGTGGTGCAGGCATGGTCATCTGCAAAGATGCACTGAGACCACTGCACATGTCACTGACCAAACAGGAAGGGGACTTGCAAAATTCCCACGAATTTACGGGGTGGGGATGACTGTTGATCACCTGAGGGCAGGGCAGTAGAGTTCAAACCGATGACCAAAGAGGCAAGAACAGGCATTGTGGGACACCTCCCAGAGGCCAGTCGCAGCGCTGTAATCGACCAGGGTGTCTATACTGGCACTGCGGCGCTATATCCCCGGTTCAGAAAGCTGTACCCCTCATGTCGGGGTGTGTTGGGTTTTTTGTTGTTTTACAGCGCTGCAACTGCACAGTTTCTGTGCAGTAAGTGGCTTGGCAGTGTGTACGCCTCAGGAGTTACAATGCAGAAAGCATCTTTACTGCGCAGAAACTTCCCAGTGTAGACAAGGCCATGAGCTGACAGTCACTGCTAGCAGTAGTGACTTGTCATCTTCTGTGTGGATCAGCCAGTAGAGGGATATGAGACACATATTTGGCTAGAAGAATTTGATTCAGGAATCCTGGGTTTTATTCCAGGTTCTGTGTGTAGCATACTCAAGTGATTACAAACTGTTTTGCCCTTGGTCCTGTCAACCTGAACTTGTTCCAGTCCTAGTCTTGCCTTCCCACTGCCTCCCCTTGGCTCCTTGTCCCAGTCCCTGTCTCCCCACCCTGGCTCCTTATCCCTTTGCATTGTAGTTATGCTGCTATTTCTTTCTCAAAATTTCCTGGGCACCAGCAGTGGGAGTATTGAGAAGACAGGAGACAGTATTCCTGCTTTTAATTCTGGTGCCTGGCACCACAGCAGTCCCTGGCCGCTGGAACAAGCAACTGCAGGGAAGTCCTGCTTATCCCCATGGGCTAGAGCAGCAGTTCTCAAACTGTGGGTCGGGACTCCTTTTTATTGGGGTCGCCAAGGCTGGCTTAGACTTTGAGGCCCAGGACCAAAGCTGAAGCCCGAGCTCTACCACCTGGGGCCAAAGCCTGAGGGCTTCAGCCCTGGGTGGCAGGGCTTAGGTTACAGGCGCCCTGCCTGGGGCTGAAGCCCTTGGGAGCAGACAAAAGGCATTATATACTGTACAGTACAGTACTGTACTGTACTGTGATGGGGAGGTGCCCCTGGCTTACCCCACACAGGCACAGCCCGCTTCAGACAATGAGGCAGGCAAGGACGCTAGGAAGTACCGTGTGCAGCAGCAGCTTCCCCCCAGAAGAACAGGTGCTGACTTTGCCAGGGGATGCTCCAGGCCTGCTTCTTCCCGTTTCCGCTCCACTCCAGGCTGTTTGGCGGCGGGGGAAGCTCTGGGAGGGAGGGAGGGGGAGGAGGCGGAGAAGAAGAACTAGCACAATGCTCCCTTGTAAAGTCAGCCAAACGACGTCATAAGGGAGCATTGCACAACTTTAAACGAGCATGTTCTCTAATGGAGCAGCGATGTAACTTCGAAACAAGGTTAAGCGAGAGGACGTTAAGTGAGGAGTTACTGTACCTGAAGCCTCACCAGCCTACTCCATATTCTGGCTGTATTTCATGGTGGTTATTGTTAACATAGGGAAGCACCTGAACAAGAGCCTGCTGATGAGTGGCCTAAAACAGAATGGAAGTCAAGTTGACGTCTTCTTGAATTACGCAGTGTCCTCACCTTCCATTGAAATGAATGGAAGTTGAGGATGCTCAGCACATTGCAGGATTGGACCATCTTTGCTTGATTGCTGGGGTTTTGCCACACATTGATATGGGGAGATGATCATTTTCAGGTCACTTTTAAAAAAACAGTAATTTTAGAAATTACATGTTGATTGTCCCAAATAACAAGAACAAGAAGAAACATTTGTATAATATTAATCTACTGTAAAACTTCTTTGTTTCTCTGCAGATCTCTAAATCAAGGCCAGCTACAGATTTCCTGCTCCCTCACTATTTGGTGCACCACATTCTCTCTGTTGCTGACATACCAGCCACAGAACCCTACTGTGGACTGGAGCTGCCCAATAGTGGTAAGAGTCCACTGTCTTCCAATATGCGCTGTTTTGTAGAGTTTGTAATGTTATAACCTTGGTATATTAAAAAAATACATTTTAAAAACTTTACAAAACCACACATCTTGTGAGAAATGGGGTCTTTCCGTAACCATATAAGGCATGTCTAATGTGCAGTGAAATTCTGTGGCTAGAACATTGCCAGCAGAGAGCGTACTGGTGCATCAAACATAGCAGGAACAGCCTGGATTTTGCAATTTCTAAAACTAAACAAAAATGGAAGTTTTAAATTAAATTTACAATTTGTATTGTAAAAGACCAGTTATACAGAATATCATTCTAATGGATCTTGACCAGTTCATCAAGACTGCCCAGTATCATTTCCCAATTCCTAGTTCACATTTATTTTATCTGTTCTTAGAATGTTATATAAGTGTTGTCATTTTCTAGGTATAGAAATAAAGAAGTTCTATTTCATTAATAAAAATGTTATGCTTCCTTGCAGAATAAAAGCCGCCCTCATTCTCGGGGAGAATATAACGTTTACAGTACCTTTCAGAGTCATGAACCTGAGTTTGACTACTTGAAGAGTCTAGAAATTGAGGAAAAAATTAATAAAATTAGGTGGTTACCACAACAGAATGCTGCTCATTTCCTGCTGTCTACAAATGGTAAGCACATTTCATTGTGTACTTTTATTTTGTAAATCAGCAAGATCTTTTGATACTTCTAGTTGAATTTCATAGTCTTACCCTGGATCCATTTGTTCATTACTTTCATACAACAGAATAGTATCCTTTTTTCATAGTTTTAATTCCATGCAAGACATGTTAGGTTTGATACCATATGTTTAGAATAGTGAAGTAACTATGCATTAACTGTCTTAGGGGAATATGGGAAGATATACCTACCAACCCACTGAATGTGCCCTTGGATGTAATATGCAAGCTGACATAATAGCCAGCAGTACTTTTCCTGCCTGTTGTTCTGCTTGTGTGACTGAAGGCTATGTAAAGAAGCTCTATGTGCTTTCTACTCCTGTCATGCACAAATGTGTTGCAAAAGGCAGGAATTTAGCCCCATGTCCTTAGCATAGCTTGAGAGAAGGAGGCTTTAAGCCTCCTTTTGTGTTTCTCTGATCCTGGCGCTGTCCAGTGGCAGGGCCGTTCTTCAATGACAGAGCAACCTGATGTTAGTAATGCAACATTATTTCTGGTGGTTCCCACAATGTGATATGTTTCCCAAACATCAGAGCATGGTGCCTGCTTGAAAGAGCTTACAAACTAAAAGGAACAGCTGTATTGACAGGAATACATTTATTTGTATTTCCATTACATACATGACCATGGTATGTCGATACCATACATAAAATTAAGAGTCTCACTTAAAAAAATCTGAAATATAGCCCTACCTCTCCTCTCTGCCGTATTAAATTGGGGAAAATCTTAATGGTTACCTTCTAATATATGTTAGTAGTAAATATTTATATTATGGTTTCACTAAAATACACCATTCTGGATTGCAGTACCATTGTGCTGGGTACTGTAGTACTGCTGTTCCACCATAACGCTCTATTAATAGGGAAGGGCTTTTTTGCAGGTTATTACTCCTACACTATGTCCTGAAAATGCCGGTTGGCAAGTCTAAAGAGATAGTATGAATTTAAAATCAAACCAGTTTAAAAAAAAAAAAATCAACAGTAGTTTCAAGTATTACATGAGACCCGGAATCTGCCTGCCAATTTTTGTTGTTTTAAATCACTTTTTTCTAGTTGTAACTGTTTTTCTTCCCCATTACTGTGTGAAAGGTGAATACAGATGGAAACTACACAAGGAAGCAGTGAAACTGAATACAAAAGTAATATCAAATGCTGAAAACAAATGACATCAAAATTATTTCCCTCTAATCTTTCAACTAATGTAACCTTATGATTATTTGTAATTAATAGATTTAAAACATGGAGCAAGTGTGATTAAGTTTCATATGGAATACTGCAGTATACAATTGCACTGGTGTTCTTTATCATAAAATAACCTGCAAAGTGAGTGTGAAAGAACTTTGTATCTTTGGTGGTTGGGGTGGGTCTTATATGCCTCTGGAAGCCTACATTTTATTGTACATCTGACTGTTACACAAGTTATCATTATTTGCTGCTGGTGTACTTGCCACTGTATAAGATTTAAAGGAAGGCCCCTCCCCAGATCAGTTTGTAATCCAAATAAACCCCCTTACTCAGAAGCCTTGAAGGTACTAGTTTGTAGATTTAAAAAAAAGTGATAACAGCTTTTCTGATTAGCATTTGGGGTTTGGGAATAAGGCTCATTCTTCCTTGTCTCCCATAATGAATTCACTTTTTTCCAGAATGCTAGCAAACAGTTTCCCCCAGACATCTATCAATTCTACAAATACAGCTTTTGCTTATTCTAAATTGAATTAGACAATTTATAGAATGGAAAGAAAACCTAAAAAGGTTTCAGATGAGATATCTGTTATATGGATTCTATTAAAAGGACTTGCAGTCTGTCTGTAAACTTGAAATAACTGGATAGTTTACCTTGTTCCTTACATGGTAGACATTTCTTGGCATTCTAACAGCCAAAGCTTCATCTTTATCTGTACTGTTGAAGTTAGTCCCTTTGGCAATAACACAACCCAGCTCCTTAGAGAATGTTTCTGTTGTCTTACCCAGCATTTGACTGGAATCATCTACCTTTTATGAAAGTGTCAGTTCCATCAACACTGAGTGAAAGAATGTTGAATTTCTGAATAGACAGTCCCCTCCTGTTTGTAAAGTTAAAAATAATTGTTTTTCTTTCCTGACATGGACTTTGTTAAAACAGTCTACTTTCCCGACTACATCACTTTTCTATGTTATACCTTTGTCCATAAATGAATTCTTTATTCTTCTAATCCAATGTGTTTTCAACTTTTCTGTAATCTAACCTCGTTGCAACAAAAATAAATTTTGGATTCTCTTCCCATAATTTCATGACTCCCCACCCCATAAAGGAAGGACAGAGGGGAGGGTGATCATGATCTCCAGGATGAAAACCCATACCCTATTACCTTTCACAAGGACTTGTCCACTATTTCATGATCACCTGTTAAACAGAACACCAGGGACATCAGCTGTGAAACAGCAGAACAAATCCCTGTACATTTCAACATTGTATATCAGTCTCTTTTTTGTTTATGAAAATAGTGCATATAACACCTTCTGAAAGAAAGGTCTATTCGAATGGGTATGTCACACTTTTCGTAGAATTTTAAAATATAAAGGAAGTCTCACTCCTCAGGAGATCACTGGTTCAACTGCACATTTCTTTGTTAGCTTGATGGGGAATAACAAAAACAAATTACTAAATGCAAATACCTCGTGCATGCTACCCAAACCTTTTACTGTATATTCATATGTGTATATTTATTTCTTGAGGAGAAACTTTTTTTCAAACATCCCTCCTTAAATCAGAGGATTAGATTTTCCTAACAGCAAATAAAAATAGCAGACTTCTTAAAGATCTCATTCTTCCTCTAAAGGAAAGGGGATGATTCATGCTTCTCTGCTGTTTCCTTGTCTTAGCAGATAAAGAGGCTAGACTTCTGCTTAAAATTTTACCTTGACTCCCCTCCCCGCCCCCCCCCCCCCCAAAGCCATGTTTTTACCTCAGGATTAGCTAGGATAGAGTCAGGGACTTTGAATGTTTTTCCTTACACTCAGAGTGTTCTGTGGAGTCAGTCTCCTCCAGGTGCAGTGTTCCTTCTCCTTTAGTTGGTAGAGATGATCTTGTGAGAAATGCCCCTCCATTTATGATGTGTCAACAGATATAAGTATACCCAGTGCTTATGGTGTCATAATTTCACTGATCCTACATTGCTCCTCTTCCCTCTCAAAAGTCAGAACCCCCACTTAGCCCAGAAGCCATTGATACCTTGGTTTTGATGTAAGCATGGCAGGAATTGAATAATCATATGCCTTCTTGGAGAAGAACTTTTAACATGGAAATTTGTGGGACCAAGTCAGTCAAACGACACATTGCATTAATACTCCTTGCTGGTGGTCCTCAGAATATTTTTCCCAGAGCATTCAATCTATCATATATTGAAAAACTCACAGCCTCGTCCTTGGACAACTTATTTCACGTAGATGACCTGCTAGTCTCCAGAAGCCTAGGGTTTAATCCTTTGTCTGAACCAGCAGACCAAGATGCTCCTGACCTTAACAAGGCGGTTCGCGCTGTGTAGTGCTCCTCCTTAAATCTTCTTACACAACCTCACTTATGGGCTCAGGGTAACATTCCTTTCTAAGTTTGTCCCTGGAGGCTGATTCTTCCATCTTTCTGTAGTGGAAAAAGAGCTTTCCGGTCTTAATAGTTCAGTATCCTTATGTGCACAAGGATCATGGGGATTGGTGACCCTGAAGGAGAATAGGATTCTTTCACAGGTAGATTTTCCAACGGAATATATTTGAACCATCCCGAAAAAGCAGGTGAGCTGAAAGCTACATTCAAAGGACTATTCTCTGGCTCCAGAAGGTGGAAAGAGAGGCCTAGTTTTGCTGGCTGTAAGAAGAGCTCCTAGTTTGTGTATTTGTTTTTTTGGCGGTGGGAGGGAGGGAAGAAAGAGGCTGATGCCTTCAAGGATGCTTGTCTTGGAAATTGACTACATATGAAAAATTACAGTCATTTAGGAACTTTTGTCATGGCTTTTTGCCCCCTTGAATAATAAATCCAACATGGCTTTTGTAGTCCTCAGATTGGAATCCAAGATTTCAGGGAATGGCCGAGAAAGCGGTTTCCTGGAAATTCAAAGTTGAAGTTAAAAGAAATCCAAGCATGTTAAAGAATGGAAATACACTGTTAGAGCACCCAGAAAACCTTAACTCTATCCTATAGTGACACCATAAGGAAAAATATATGAAAAATCTAATGTCTGTCTGGACTTCATCTAATCCAGGATCTCTCATACTACAATGCCTTTATATGATTATTTTATGCTGGTGCTACAGGGCAGAATTAAGGCGTTAGGGCCTTAATTATGCATTTCCATACAGTAACATATTTGAATTTCTTTTCATTTCAGTTTTAATTCCAAACTTCCTCAGTTTATCTTGCTTGTTTGGGGCATAATAAGAACATCCCTGCAAATCTCTACATTACTGATATGTATTCTCAACTTTAACACCATTTAAAATTTATATTTTGTCTGGAAATTTTATATAACTAGTTAAAATAGGCAACTTTAAGGACAATTCTGAATGGTTTCATAAGCAGTTCAAACAAAGTAAAATATTCTAGTATGTAGTGTTTGTGTTTTTAATCATTTTATACTATGGTAGCGCTCAATGGCCACAATCAGAATTGAGGCCTCTTTGTAATAGGCACAGAGGAAACCCAGATGAAGAAACAATCCCTGCCTGGGAGAGTTTATAATCTGGCATATAACTTTATAATTATTGAATCATTTTTAATTTTGTAATTTCAATTTCAAGAATGTGAATTTTTGTTTTTAGATAAAACTATTAAATTATGGAAAATAAGTGAAAGGGATAAAAGAGCTGAAGGTTATAACTTGAAAGATGAAGATGGACGACTTCGGGATCCATTTAGAATCACAGCACTACGAGTATGTTTTTTGTTTTTTCCTTTGGCTCTAGTTAAATCTACTTTTTGAATGTACAACTTTACCTTTGTACATTTAAAAAGAGGTGTACATTTAAAAAATGTTTTTAATATGCAAAGAAATGTTATTGATAACATTTTCTTCTCTTTCACCATCATAAACTAAGAACTGGATCCATTCCTAATCCTGATTTACCCTTTTTAATATATAAAGCCATTGCAGGAAGACTATGGAGTGAATGCTGTGTCAAGACAAGGCCGAATACAGTAGCACCTCAGAGTTACGAACACGTCGGGAATGGAAGTTGTTTGTAACTCTGAACGAAAACATTATGGTTTTTCTTTCAAAAGTTTGCAACTGAACATTGACTTAACACAACTTTGAAACTTTACTATGCAGAAGAAAATGCTGCTTTTAACCATTTTAATTTAAATGAAACAAGCACAGAAACAGTTTCATTACCTTACTATTTTTTTAAGCTTTCCCTTTTTTTTAGTAGTTTGTTTAACACAGTACTGTGCTGTATTTGCT